GCTGCTCTCCTAGGAGGTGATTGATGGGGAAGAGGAAATCCTGGGGTCTGGGTGGGTGTGAGTGGGTGAAGCAGTGAATGTGTGACAGGTGCCTGACCAGGACATCTCTGTGTTTGCAGGTGTGCAGTGTGAGGTGCAGCTGGTGGAGTCTGGTGGAGGCTTGGTGCAGCCTGGAGGGTCACTGAGACTCACCTGTGTGGCCTCTGAATTCACCATCAAGAACTATGACATGAGCTGGGTCCGCCAGGCTCCAGGGAAGGGGCTTCAGTGGGTCTCAGCTATTAGTAGTGGTGGAAGCACTTACTACACTGACTCTGTGAAGGGCCGGTTCGCCATCTCCAGAGACAACGCCAAGAACACGGTGCATCTGCAAATGGACCGCCTGACAGACGAGGACTCAGCCCTTTATTTCTGTGCAAGAGACACAGTGAGGCAAAGTCCTTGAGAGCCCAGACACCAACCTCCCTGGAGGACACAGGAGGGGCTGGGCTGCAGGGGCTCAGGACACCAGGGGGCGCTGAGGACCCACCGTCAGAGGGTCGCTGCCCCAGGAGCAGGTGCACATGGAGGCTCAGGGTGGCTTCCTGTCAGGGTCCGGGCTCCCTCTCCACGTGGCAGCTCCCCCAGGGAACTTCTGTATATTTATGTGCCTTTGCTCACTCCTGACATCTCACAGGACCGAAGGTTTTCTTGTTTTCTGTTGATTGGAGCTCATGCTCTCCTTTGCACCAAATGTAGTGTGTCCCCCAAGGAGGCATAAACGACCTTGGGTGGTCACCAGGATGGGAAGGAATGCCGAGGAAGCTCTGGGGGCCATGGTGGGCATTACCATCAGTGTCAGCGCAGAGCCCTCTGGAGGAGCCCCTGACTAGCACAGGGGGTGTGTGTGTGGCAACACACACAGGCTGGGCCAGTGTTGGGTACTGAAGTTCCTCCTGGGCTCACTTTTGAGTCTCCTCTTGACCACAGTGCACAGATAAACCTAGGCTCTGACCCTGAGCTCACTTTCCTTCTTATCTCTTTCACCACCACTAGTTGTTTTTCTGATTTTCCCTTTGCTGCCTCTGTTCCTGAGCTTAGAGGATGTGTTGTCTGTGCCCTAATTTCAGTGCTCAGGTTATTTACCTGGAGCTCAGCTGTGACACCGGCAGGCTCCTGATAGGGCTGGAGGGATGTTGTCCCTCACCCTGTACAGGGCTTCCCTGCTGTCCCCCCTGTGGACACATTGGCAAATGCCAGTGAAGCAGGAGCCCAGGGGGTGCACATGTTTGGTGACCATGGGGAGTGAGGAAGAAATGACCTCGTGCTGCTCACACTGTCACTGTGTGGCCTGCTAACCTGGGCTCTGGGCGGCCTGCAGATGGTCCTCCATCATGGCTGTGGGCTGTGGGGTGGCCATCAGGGGCAGGCTGTGCTCACCCAGGGTCCTCAGAGATGGCCACCAGGCTGGACCCTCGGGTAGCTGAGCTGCTGTCCACCAGCAAGGTCATCCCCAGGCCTGCTCTGTGACTCAGGCCACACCAGGTCATCTAGGAAAGCCTCCTGGGGTAGGACAATGGATGATGGATTTGAATAAATGTATAAAGTATCATCACAGCAGCAACCAGCTTAGTGTTTGATAGAAAACGGGCCAGGCCTAGTCAGCCTGCCATGTGCAGTTGACCATGGCCAGAACTATTCCGTGTTTCCCCAGGAGAAAGAGGCTCATGACATCAAGAATTTGTAAAGATGATTTTCTGATGCTTGGCCTCTGAGCAGCTGAATAAAGAGTAAATTAAGATGGTTTGTATATTTTGTTTTTTTTCTTTAGACAGACACCCATGTCAGAGACACAGCAATGTTGCGGGTGAGGCTGCAGCATCTGTAAGACCACACGGCCTTCGGCCACAACGAGGGTGGAGGTGTACTGGGGACATTCCTGGTCTGC